GTTAGGCTCCTGTTTTTCAAGAGCTCTCAGGGGTTCTTGGCTTGTTGTTGAGTGTGATATTATGGAACAAATAGTAGGGCTTAATGGTGGTGTAGATGATTTAACTGCCCTCGGGGCGATGAAAAAGGGGGGAAAAATTGTTTCTGTAGGCTACACAGTGTACTGTTGTTATGTAGTTGTTTGGAAGCCTTTATTTTGTGAGATTCCAAACGGTGGGGGGTGGGGCGATGCAGGCCAAAAATATATGATATAAAATATCTTCTTTGACTACCTGTATTCTACATGTGCTTTCCGCATTTAAGTATGTTGTTTAATTGCAGCACGGTTCTCCTCAGTCTCCTTCAGGCCCAGCACCGACTGTGTTGTCTGCTCTGCTCTATCAGAGATGCTGTGGCTTTAATCCTTTGCCCACAGGGGACGGCTGACATGGATGTGTGTAAACTGTTGACATGGTGCTGTCTCCTATGCTCTCTGATCAAAGACGGTGCAGCCCTCCTGTTTCACAACCTGCCTTCAAATATGCTCCAAGTCTCACAGACTCCCTGCCTCTCTGTTTCACACTTGTTATTAACCCGTGACTCCCCGTGGTAAATCGGTACATCTGACAAAGACAAAGAAGCTGTTTATGCCTTTCCTTATGTAGCCTCTGTGACCTCCCTCCAAGCAATGAATTTGATTTGGAAAATGGTGTGTATGTAGCTCACGCCTTAGTGGAAACCAATTTTGGAGACAGTAATGCACTGGCTTTAAGTGCAAGAAAAGATTTGGCTTGAAGTTGTGCTTAGTTTAATTAATCCTCGGTAATGATGCAACTATTAGTAAGAGCTCCGCTTGTCTTAAGTGGCTGGAGGGGTGTGTGTGTGTGTGTGTTCATTCGATGAGCGGCGATGCTGATCAAGCCAACTACAACTCACTGTCTAAATGTGGTTCGGTTTCAGGACTCCGGGGAGTTCTGCTATTGTTTCAAAGTTTCCTTTAACCTCATGAGAACACTAACAAGTGTGATATTAAATAGCTATTGTTACGGCATCCTGATGCAGTGTTGCGTCTTTTAATACAGTAAGAGCCGGGAAATCCTGTCACATTTGTGTTGCAAATTGAGACATTAAAGCTTTATTTCTGTTTTGATTTTTGTGAGAAAATTCATTAAAACAAATACGATCTGTTTCTCAGTCTATTAGTAAATAAAGCTAGGAAGCTAATGCACAGAGTTTTTAAAGTGTCCATATTATGCTTTTCGAGGTTCTTTTAATGCAAAAAAATCTGCAAAATTACAACACCCAAACTCCATGGCAAAGTGGGGTATTATTTCCTTTAAAAAAGGTGCTGCTGCACTGCCTTTTATTTTGTAATTTAGGTTTTGTTTTTGAGACCTATCTACGTCACTATGTTACACATTTGCATAATGCCCACCTTGCGGCTAGTTTGGCTCAACCTCAAAGGATTAGCAGCTGCCTTATAGGCTGCCCCTTTATTTACTTGCCAGAGCCGCTTCTGCTAACTCTAAAACGTCTCTGCCACGAGCGGAGCACGCCAAATGTTCTTTGTTGGCTTCAGTAGCAAATGCAATTGAGTCTTAGTGCACTCTCAGCATGTGAGGAACTGAAGACACAGTGGATTATTTTTTATTTTTGATGGTAATGTCCCCTCAACAAAAGAAAAATTCTAACTGTTGGCATGTTGCGTGGCTCATGGCTTATGTTACAATTGGCTTTGATCGCATACCATGCCCACAGGCCAGAGCTTTTCTGAAGTGTAATGGTAGTGGACAGTCAGAAATTGTGTCATTTCAGACTGATTTTTATTTAAACCAATAAACAAATACTGGGTGTGGGTTGCTATGTTTTCTTGTCTTTGACTTCTTGCTTTATTATAACCAGCTTTTCGTTTTTGCGTTCACTGGCGTGGCACACATGGACCAGCTAAAAGAGCACAGTTGCCAACAAGGCCAGTTGTGTAATCCAGATCTGTGCTGAAATATCTGGGTTCTTCCTTTGCACTAGCTCTTATACGGCTGAGCGATTCATGGAGTTTTCACTTCATTTACGATTATTGTAATAACAAGATAATTTCTTGTGTTGGAAAGCAAGTGCTTTTCTTTACAGTGGTGCACTTCTGCCGCTCCCTGAAAGCCCAACCTGTTTTGTTCAGCTCCAGCCAAGTTGACTTTTTGGGGGGAGAGTCACTTGGTCAACAAGATCCATACAGAAGAATTAAAAGTCATAGGATTTCTGCAGTTGAACCTGTGAAAGGATTATTAATGATAACCTCCAGCCGCCCTCGTCTCCAAATCGGTCAGGGTCTCTCAACCAGCCGCTTTCAGTGGCACGTGACATTTGGCTGTCGGCTTTTGCTCTTCATCTCCCTTCCTGTAGCTGCTCTACAGGCCCCCTGAGGCAAGTGAGTCTGTTGCCTCTGGGCCTCTCTTCACTCCTGCATGCAGCCGCAGAGATCCTGTGGTGTAGGCATGCCGGCGGGGACCGGGAGTCGCTCTTGGGAGATGGACTTTATGGTCAAAAAACACCCTTTAGTCAGGGTTCAGGGGTGGGGCTAGAGTGGCACTGCCCCCAGCCTCCCCCACCACCAGGTTTTTCATAAGAGAAAGACCTTAGAGAGGCTGAAACTAAAATTGTTGAAGAGGTGCTTCAACAAAGCACTGTTTGAGGGGAAAAGTGTCTGCTTAAAAACCAAAACAAAAAAAAAACCTTACACAAATGCTGTCTGATGGTCTATTATAGTATCTGTGAACACAGTCAGACCTTGCGCTCAGGTACAGCTTAGGCCCCTAAAGGTTCCTGTCCCTATCACATGATGATGTCATCATGTTACCTAGCAGCAGCCTATGAATAGGCTAAAATTACCCATATGTAGCATTTATAATTTCATCCAAAAGAAAAAGCTTTATCCAAACATTGTCATTTTATCACTGCCTAACAATCAAATAAAATCCCAGACCAAACAAGACTGGGGATGTACAATTGAGCAAATTATGCCCACTTTAAGTTGTGATCTAAGTGCTAAATGTTTGTTTTTGTTTTGTTTTCTTTACTCTTTAGTAAGTGTTGTGTGAGAATGAAGTGATGAATAGATGTTTTTTGCATTTGAAAAGTGATATTAACGGCTGTTGTGTCCAATTGAATGTAAAGTGGTGAGAACACAATACTCAACATACCAACCAGTTGTACAAAAACTAATACAACATGGATAATCTCAGTGGATTCAGAAAGTATGTTGAAAGAAGTAACAGTGGCTTCTTCCATTTTCAGTCGAGCAGATTGTCGTCTCTGGTTTTGTTTTTAGTTCGCCCTGCTGTTCCTACACAGAAACGATCTGCTCACCCACTTTCTTGCATCTTTGAAGCAACAGCGAACCAGAATTACCACGTCTCCACCTTTTGAAACCTACAGCGGGTTTTGAATCCTTAAAGCAACACAAAACATTCTTATTTTTAGGTGTGCTCATCCCACAATAGCTTCAACTAGACAATCTTTTTCCCTCCACCCTAGCCCTCCGGCTGCATCTGTTTTGCAGCATTTTTTCCCCAATGAGTTTGGTTGTTGTAGTTTGGGGTTTCATACTTTAGGGAGTAGGTATGCTTAAGAACAATTTGTCCCCCTAATGTTGTTGTACCATTGTGTTTTGAGTGTTTTTGATTTCTTGCTGGTAATTTTCCACAAGTGAAAGACAGTTTGGGACCAATTGTCTGCACTCCTAGCAATGTGGCAGTCTGAACGTTACTGGAGCTTAGCTCAAAAGCTGCTGTGATACTGTTAGATCCATGCATATGTTGTTAGCATAATGACAGTCCAGCCTAATTAAACTGTTTCTTTTCTAGACCAACTGCTACTGTAAAGTTTGTGATTAATGTTAACTGCAAGAGTGTAGGAGGCACCAGAGTGGGTTGGAGGATAAACTTGGTGATGGTGATCATTACCAAACTCAAATGATTAGAGTAGCTGCAATTTGAAACACACATTCAAGGCAGTCTGACCTGATGTGTGTATCAACAGTGATTGGGGAAAAAAGGATTTTAGATATCTCAGGCAAAAACACAAACAAAGTAAAACAGTATTTTCTGTGTGTGTGTGTGTGTGTGTGTCTGCCTCTTCAGTGAGGTTCTTATCGCATGTACAGAGTCCCCACTGCATTACTATGTACTTCATCTAACCATGGTAGTCCTTGTTCTGCTCTGGAGCCTCCGTGAGCTTGGATTAATCCAGTTCTGGTTAGTGACCCTCCAGCTCACAGCAGAGGAGAAACAGGACTACCTTCTCCGGCTGTGGTCTAAAACAGTGGAGCTGGAGTCCGTCTGCATGCAACACTTCTTTGGCGAGGTAGCTGAGTTATGTCAAGGACTACCACAGCAATGATTGGTCAGCCTGCTGACAGGGGACCACAGGACTAGAAAAGCTAGGGATGGACAGTGTGAAAATTTAGTGCACAAATAAGAGCACATTATTCCAGTTCTGTCAAAAGAAAAAATGGAGAAATGCTAAAATGACAGGCCACTTATATTTTGGTGGCATGTATTATTCTTGGGTGGCCAAGTAAAGCTCATGCATGGGGGAATACTGGCTTTGCTCTGTGCCGGTTTATTAATTGTGTTCTTGTGATCTATGTGTCCCTCCAACAATTTATGTGAGGAAAAAGAAAACGATGTGGTTTTTATCATTTTAGTAATAGTGCTGCACACACACAAAAATGCGTCTACCAGCAAGATACGCAGATATGAATATATCTTTGATTGGCTAACATCGACTGACAAGCCTTCTGATTAATATCCATCAAATCGGATTCAAATAGAAAACCAGGAGATTTTATTGCAATTATCTGTGTTCGGCTGATTATGCGTGAAATCCTTTCAGTGGTTTGTGAACTAGTAAAAATCCAGACTGAATTGCTGCAGGGACAGGAGCTTTGTCATAGTATGTGTTTGCATTGCAAAAGAAATGTTTCTTTTCCCTGTTGAGTTTTCTGACCTGTATCTCTCTCTCCCACAGTCGCGTCGGGTCACCACACTGGAGGCAACCATTATGGAGGCACAGGCGTAATGAGGGAGAGGAGGACAGTTGATGACCCCTACTGGTCCTATTCAGGTGAACTCTCATTTATGCTCTGGCTGGAGCCTAAGTAGGAGGGGAAATTGCTTACCTTTTCTGCCTTACCCACCATTTTCCATTTTATTTCCTGCTGTTTCGCCAGCAAGCTCCCCCCCCCCCCCCCCTCCTCGCTATAGCAAAATGGGTTTAATAAAGCATTTATGATTCATATAATGGCATACCTGTGATGTATGCTTTTAATAAGAGCAATTAAACAAATGCACTCTGGAGTGAACAGCAGTGACATATTGTGGAGCGAGTCTATGTTCAGATTCATAACGGGAAATAATGAGTTAACTATCTCATTTGTAAAAGTATAGATTAGGACTGATGGATGTTGTCAGCAGTGCTATGAAAATGTAATTGTTTAATTCCTAACCGCGTTATTGGTGCTTTGCTTTTAATCTAAATAAATGTTTTTGAGAAGACTTGCTTACTCTGTATTGCAATCTCTTAGCTGTTTACCTTAACACATTTGGAAGATGGATGAATATAGCAGCCCTCAGTGAACTGTCTGATGTATACTTTAATGAATGATTCATTCTGTGCACTCTTATGCTTGTAAATAATCTCACAGTTGGGTATAAATTTGCATATCACATCTTTTTGGGTGGTAGTCTTGGAGGAAAGTTTTTAGAGTTATAAACCTGTAAATAAGGAAAGAAGCTGAGCTCAAATAATGTATCAAAATATTTAAAACGGTATGTCACGGTATAATATTTTAAACTATCAGAAGCATATTTTATCAACTTCTAAGCTAAAGCTGTATTTAAATGCTTTAAGAGTTTAATTTTTCCTATTTTCTGGTGTCCAAATTTGCTGTAAGGGGAGAAGAAAAGGTATAAAAGCACTGGGCTTTATGCATTTATAATGGCATGGCTCATTATTTGACTCATCATCAGCACTTTACAAGACCATGAGTTAATGTATCTGAGTACCTGCTGAGCACTTGGTATTTGTTTTCTTTTTATAGCACGCAACATTTGGCACTGCTTGTAATGGTAAAAGTCTTTAAATTTCCTGTTTATTGGGCTCGGATGCAAAATGTGTGCACAGTTGTATGCAGAGCAGAAGATGTTTTTGTGGTGGTGAATTGATAAGCATATCCAGTTTGTTCCTTCAAAGCATTCATTCTCATTCAGCTGTACACGTCCACACCCCGGCGCAAACATAGCCCTCTGTAGGCCATCAAGCAGCTCCGATGGGAAATAGGGGTTATGTGATTTGATGGAGGGCACTTTACTGGAAGAGCTCAGGAAGGGAGGAGCACTCGGTAAAATCGTATTTACAGGTTCCAAGTTCCAAAAACACCACCTTGCAAATAACTAACTCGGCCCCTCTGCCGGTGGAGTGTATCGTGGCTCTGCAAATGAATATACTGATGGAATATTTTGTCCTCGGCGCTCCAGTTGTGAGCCTAGACTCTTGTGGTTTTAGGCAAGACAATTGTGCGAATAAAAACACAAAAAACAAAAACAAACTGTGGCTACTTTGGAGTCAAGTTTGTTTGGTATTCATGTCACTCCTGATTGTGGCCCTCGTCTCTCCCAGTTGTCGAGTAAAGGCAGTGGAAAGAATGCCTGCTTTGACTATCCAAGCGTGATTGCTCTTTCACCACAAGGTGTGTGGTGCCTGTTTTAGGAGTTCTGGTCACTTCAGATATGGCATTGTTTTCTGTGCAGCCTACAAAAACAGAACCCCTGATCACATTTTAACTGTGATCATATAAACAACTTTGGTTCTTTAATTAGATAATGATGCAACATTATGCCATATACAGGGTTTTTGGCATTGGTCTGCTTTAGCGGTGGGCATTATAGCCTCAAAATTATATCGTGATACTTCTGATTAAGAAACAAATAAAGAATTAGGCTTATTGCTTGCAGCTTACATGCAGCAGCTTTTTTTAAATGTAGCCAAATACAGGGCATTTTCCATCTTTTTACTTGATGACACACTTCCTAGTTTGAAGTGTGAATCTAGTGAAAAGAGGTTCCAGCAGCAGCATTAGAGTGTGGTGGCAGTGACACAGCATTATATCCAGTGACACAGCTCAAGTCACATGTAAGCACAAAAGTAGCCTAAATGATGTTTTCCATGGAAATCTTAAGTACAAATACAACATGACTACTTAACACTTGAGTTACTTTATTGTTAAACTAAACTCTGATATAGTATTGTCACATAATAAAACGGAGAAATATTCTCTACCTGTGATGTTTTGTCTTGGGCTGAGCTTTGCTGCTTAAAGCTCTGCTTTTCACATCAGTAATTTCCATCCACCATTTGCTCTTCCTGTCATATGGAATGCAACTAGCGAGTGCAGCAAGTGTTGCTTGGTTGACTCATTTGTTTACTTTTGGGTCACACATCACCAGCTGCTAGTTTCTTCTCCTTCATAGCCTGGTCGTGCTTGACGGTGTGCTTTTTTTTTTTTTTTTTTTTTTTTTTGGCTTCAAGCACTGAAACGACTTTGTTCCCACTAATGCTGGAAACAATTTTCGTGCATAATTTAAAAACGACTGCGTTTCTGTGCGAGGTTGTTGAGGTGGCTTCCTTTATAGGTGCGAAATTGTCATCAGAAGGTCTTGCTGTCAGACATGCCTGGGCTTGTCTCATTGTTGCGTGCAAAGCTGCGTGAATGCATGCCATTGCCATAGCAACAATACATTTATATCAAGATTATCATAGAGGAGATGATGTGGCACAGCCCTAGCCCACTTAGTATTTTGTGTTTGTGCCAATGTGTAATGGCAGTAGGCTCAGTAAGCCTGGTGAAAAATCACCTGTAGCAAGGATTAAGTGAGGCGGTACATCACAAATACCTGACATGACTTTAATTTGTACCTTCGGTAATGGCCACACTCCAAATATATGGCATTTGCTGCATGAAATGGTGCTTCTGCTCTTTTCCCCTAAAGGTCAGAGTGTGTGTTTCTTTTTTCCAATGATGTTAGTGGTTGTAATAATTGATTTCGTTTAGATGGTCCACCACTCTTGTAAAACACTGTAACTGTGTCTTGCGCTTCATTGGTATTTCTGTCCTGTCATGCATTCATCGACCAAAATTAGAAATTTGCCTTTTAGCAAATGAAGTGACAAAATACTGATGAGAGCAACCGTTTTTTGCTTCTTTTTGTTTTGGGCCACACATCAATTTTACGCTGGTTAAATGTTCAGAGATAGACATGAATAAAAAGCTGAAAAGCCTTAGAACATTTAAGCTTTTTCCAATAATGATATCTGTTTCTGTTGCACCACAGGGGCAAATAAATGACAACAGAAACAAGACAAATCAAAATATTGGCACAAATTACTGACCACATTTTATTAAACCTCTGCATCAGATGGGTTTTTTTGTTTGTTTGTTTGTTTGTTTTCTTCAAGACCAAATGTAAACATGTATTAGTCATGCTAATCAACACAGTTCTGCAGTACTTGGATGTAGAAAATGAAAAGTGTCTGCTGCATGGGTTTAAAGTGAAATAACCAGGTCACCCAAATGATGCGTAACCACATTCTTCCTGTACGGACGTTAACCTGCGAGGAAACAAGTGCTAGCTGCTGCTAGCAATGCCTGGTAATGGGTATATTATATTCGCAGTGACATTTAAAGTATTTTTGAATGAAAACTGAAATGTTTGTTTTGCCAGTTGGTTTAACCTTGTACATGGAGCACGAGTGATATAGGATTTTTAAGTCAAATGTGAATATTTGATGATTTTATAAAGCTGATATATCGCTCATATTCTTTTTTTTTTTTTTTTTTTTTTTTGTTGAGACACACTAACAGATTTCAGTAACATTTGTCATGTGTAGTTGTTTGAGTCGTTACTAACAATCTCAGTGCTATGGATTATTTGTTGCAGACTGCAACAGAATGGCTAATATCAGTTTGTTTCCTTTTTGAATGATTTCTTACTTTTAGGCTATGCAGCTAGTCCCTCTCCCGCCATCCCACCTCCCATTTAAAAGACTAGTAAATTATTTGCCAGGAACATCTTTTGACCACACCTGAGTCCACACTCCTGTGGGACACAATCTTGATATTCATGCTGAGGTCCTTCTTATTTTCTAATTAGAACATCCGGCTGGGGTTGGCGTGCGTCTTTGGTCAATTAAATTCTAGGGCTTTGTTTTTTGACAGTATGTTAGGTATCGTTAATAAACAGCCTGCAGCACCATTGACATACTTCTTTTTATAACTATCTTGCTAAAGTTCTCATTTTTTTGTGTTGATATGCTGTTTGTTCATGGTTGGCAAGAGAAGGGCCGGTAATTGGGTATCTGGGTTTTTCTATGCTGGGATGGTGGCCAAAAAATAAAATAAGGGAAAAAAAACTATCAAGATAGGCAACTGGCTGACATGTTTTGATTTTTGGACATTCATTTCAAGTCCGTGTAGACCACCAGTTCCTACCAGTCAAGACAGCTGGCTGATTGTACAAAAAATAAAAGGAAAGAACTGAGGGAATACAGAAATGGCCATTACTTGAGGAAGGTAATTAGCGGCTAAGGCTGTGAATGGAGGACAGAGGAGCGTGCCTTAGCAGCTAAATGGTTATTAAAGGCATTTGCTCTGTGCAAGTGAGTGTAAAAAGAAACGCACACAGTCGGGCTAGCCTGAAGCTAGAAGCAACTGCATAGATAGACTAGCACTGTGAGCGAGACACACGAGTACTGAACGTAACCTATAGAGGAGCATTGTGCCACCAGTGTGATTACTTTAGGAGTGAGGGCGTTCCAAGAATGTGAAATGATGTTTCTCAGGCAAAAATAAAACATAGTGATGAAAAAAAAAAAGTAATTTTTGATGATCAGATATTTTTTTTCTTTAAACACGCCTGCGTTATCAATAAGACGACTGATTTTTGCACAGTTTTTGTTTTTCTCTAAAAAAATCTGGCTACACGTGACAGTGATGCGAGTTGGCTTTTAATAATTATTCATTATTGCTTCATATTTTCCATAAGAGGGTGCTAACCCCTTACTTTGTA